CATTGCCAGGGCAGGCATACTCACCGCATCCATTGCGGCTTCCCCTTCGAGCCAGTCCAGCCTTGTTATCGTGCGTCTCGCCCTCTCGCGAGTATCAAGGGGCTCTTTTGTATCCAGGTCAAGCACATAGATACCGTCGGCCTCAACCTCCTTCCACAGCGGGTGGGCCGAGCCCGCAACGCTTGACAGAACCAGCTGCTTGCTGTCATCGCGAATAAGCAAGGACCGCCTCCCGAGGCGATCTCGGCCAAAGTAGACCTTCCTCGAGGCCTTATCAAAGAATACAAAGGCGAAGGGGCCGGTTATCAGCCGAAACACACTCAGGATAGCACCCTGACGCTCTGCGGGAGCGCTCTGAAGAGCTTCGCGCAAGAAGCTGGCGAGCATCTCACCGTCGTTCCCGGAGACATCGTGATTTCCAATCTTCCAGGCCTCACCATTCCAGCAGAGTACAGATCCGCTCTCGGGATCGACCAGAGGCTGCTGGGCTACATGGTCGCCGCGCAGGGCGAGGACGGTCGAGGTGAAGGCGAGATGGGTCGCGCCTGCGTCGTCGTCACCTAGACGCGTCTCGTGCGTGGCGATGTGATCTGGACCGCGGCCGCAGAGGCATCTCTTGAGTTCCGGTGAGATATCGGCCGGCTTTGATGAAGAGACGGAGACGTGGATCCCGCACATTGTCGGTAATATGCTGACTGGATGCAGCCCGTGATAGCCAACCGAGTTTTAGGCGTTCCTTGTTTCCGGTATTTAGATTCGACCTTTTCTCAGGGTTAAACCCTCTGGGCTCTCGGAGCATCTGCCGCGAGTGACTCATTGTTGCGGGCCCAGTAGCAGCAATATATACTTTTCATATTACTGAATTTTCCATCAGCTACATAGCTCAGGGGAAGAGTGAGTTAACCCATTCTTGAATAATGGCTTTGAAATCTTGCTAACACACAATCAAGGCGCCGGGCTCATAACCCGGAGGTCGCTGGATCGAAACCAGTTGTAGCTATACCTTCATTTTTTGTCTTTTTGCCCATTTCTGACCTGTTCCGTGTTGCAGTAGCAATCAACTTGTTTTTTTGCAGCCTTTCGAGAGGAGGGCAATAACAGAAATCCATTCTTTCTAGCCTCAGTCACCACATTTGTTGAAGCCATATCTTGTAACTGCGTCGGCGTTGTTACCCATGGTCAGAACGAGATGGCCAATTGTGATTGGTTTGCTTTATACTACTACATATGTACTGGGATGTAGGATTCATGCCTGGTCGTTTTATGCCCAAGCACTTGGTTACTACCACCCGAACTGGCTTCAGATATGCGGACCATCTGAGGTCATCTGTACAGGTGTGGTGCTAGAAATCCTTTCGCATTCCTATACTGCGGATTGCTTCTAAATACAGATGTAAATGCTACTGTGTATACGTAGGAACACTGAGAAAAGCGGGGTGGGCAAAGTTGCAGCTTAGCAAGCTTGAAAGACAATGCGGGATTTATAGATCCTTTATGCATAGAGTTGATCTATTGTACAAAAATTACAGTACTGTTAAGGACAGGCGGATCTGCTCTCGAGTCCTTGACCCAGTTCTCTGGGCCCCAGTGGGAGCAAACCGGTTGAGCTGATGTATATGTTGCTTGAAAAGTGGTTCTACCAGCAATAGGATTCAGCTGACTCCAGACCACCTCGCTGATCCATGGATGCTGGATTCACCTCCAACCTCAAATTACTGAACATGGAGCCTCAAATGTGAAATCCAATGCTGGAGGCATGTTATGCTGCCTGGTTAAGAGACATGTCGCTCCCAGCTGTTGCGAGTCTCGGCTGCCACTGTAGACAACATTTCATCTTGTCCATCTGGACTGTCATTATTGTACTATCACACGGATCACTTTGTCCTTCACAGACTCATACATTAACCAAGGTTCACTGTCATTAAGATGGCTGTCGGAGATCGAGGCACTGAGCTCGTGGCCGTTATCTGGGTGTTCACAGTCCTTGCCATTATCACTGTTGCTTTAAGGCTAGTGACTCGCACCCGCATTCTGCAGGCTCTTGGGTTGGATGATGTTATTATCTTATTCTCTCTTGTGAGTAGATAAATCCAATAAATATGCAGTGAGTTCAAGTACAATCTCTCACAACAGAAACTTCGGCAGTGTTTGCTCGTAACCTGCACATGCATCTTTACATACGATGTCTATCCATTGGGCATGGGTCGGCATCGTACTGATATACCGCCGGGAACTATCAGTGATACTATCAGAATTAACTACATAGGCAATCCCTTCGGTGTTATGGCCTACTCTTTTCCCAACATTGCGATTGCCGTGCTCCTCGAGCGAATACTCGTGCCGAACAAGCTACGGGCGATAGCCCTCTATACACTGGCTGGACTGCAGTGCACTATTGCCGCAATTTCTTGTGTGCTGCTCTTCACCCAGTGCACCCCAGCAGAGTATCTTTGGAATCCAGCGGTGAAGGCCACTGTACACTGCCTTGATTCTGGCACACTTTCACACTACTCCTATTTCGTCGGGTGTAAGTAGAACAAGATAGCTCCACTGTTGATTATCAATGGGGAGTGCTGACTCGGCCTTGATGACCGGTTTATAGCCTTTACCGCCGCCACAGATATTATTCTTGGACTGGTTCCGATCACGGCATTTTGGAACTTGAAACTGCCGACCAGAACCAAAGTGGAATTGTGCTTATGCATGGGATGCACCCTCTTTGCAGCTATTTGCGCCATTATCAAGACAACGAAGCTCGATGAGCTGGAGAATCTGGCTGACTTCTCCTACGCGACGGTAGACCTCGTTATCTGGGCCGTGTAAACAAACCCTTAGCTCATGGACGATTTCCCCCTACCATAAAGTACATGCTAATGTGGACATATCGAATCCAGTGTCGAGGCAGCCGTCATCATCATAGCCGCATGCATGCCCACTCTTCGACCCTTCTTCAACAAAACCCTCGCCAAGCAGGAGAACGTGTCCGAGAACACTGGGTTCTTCCGGTGGTTGGGCTCTCTGTTCACCTTGACCTCCAAAAGTTCCAAGCTTCCCAGTGTAGAACCTCCGCGGCGGGAATCAGGCCTTGACTCGGGCTACCAGAGCATACGCAATGCGCCGACGGTAAAACGATCGGTTGGTAACGAGTCCAGCATTGCAATATGGTGCACGACGGAGACGGAGATCAAGAGTGTCCCTAATCCTCAGGGTGACGGCAGGGTATAAGGTCCCTTGAACAATATACGCAGATGACCGGGGGGTTTGTTACATACTACAGGCTCAGGGCTATGCGAGTGCTTTGATATGTACCTAGATAACCTAGGTAGTTTGATGTATAAGAGGCAATTCAGCGCTAAGAACGGGAAGGGGGCGTTTAGTGCCGATTCCCGAATGTTGGGGGTCACTGGGGGTGTCGGTGATAGGCTACAGCCGCTGCGGTACCTATATTAGCGCGGAGCCACCCTTCTATACCTAGGTACCCTCCCATATATCATCCAATGCCTGTAGACACAATCCACACACAGCCTTTACATACTTCTCAGGTCTGTATATGCACGCAACCGGGCCCACCACTGACAGCACGCCGCCCGTCGCGGTAGCTACTCAGCTACTCACACTGATGTACGGACTACTGCGCCCCACAAAGTGTTTGCATCCTGTAGGCATGGCTCCAGCAGGAGTGAGACTAATGTTCTCCAGTTACTAATTATAACTTGGGCTATCGAGCGTTGAACGTTGTCCTCCTCTCTGCCTCACTAGCAACAGTGCTTGTTATAGTCTTGGATTTATACAAGTCTCGCTCATCACATACCTCTTCGCCTCCTCCACGTGATTACTACGGCGATTCCTCAGTCTCTTCGCCAATGGCGTCTTCACAACCTCCCGAGGCCATTCTCGCGCAGCTACAGAAGACGGGCGCAGCCTTCGCAGACAAACAGCCAGGTGCGCGTGAACAGCTCCTCAACCTCAGCCATGCTTTGATTGCAAGTTTGGAGCTGCCCAGTGAGGCAATACAGCGGATGGGCTGGGCAGAGGTAAGAATATCCTCGTACGAGTCCGAAAGCCCCAACAATCTTTCGAGTCTGAACAGGGTGTCGGAGTCTAGCTGGATAATATCCGCCATCAACTTGACCTCCCTTCGCTGACGATTGTGGTAGCCTGCCCGAGCTGCTCATTGCCGCATTGCAGTAGAACTGAAGCTTTTTGAGCTGCTCAAGGATAGCGGCGCTGCAGGAATCAGCAGCAGGGAGTTGGCCGCCAAGTCCGGAGCTCATGAGGTCCTGATTGGTATATATACTCCTCAAGTCTCAACCTAGTGCGGTCGGTGGCCAGCAATTCTCTAATCAGCCTCTCCAGCCCGAATTATGAAACACCTTGCAGCCATGAATATTGTGGGAGAATCTCCGGACAGTACTGACGGCTATACACCGACGCCGCTGAGCAACTCCTTGACGGAAGAGAAGTATCGCAATGGTATTATATATACGTATGTATTCCTAACGAGCGATTCCTCTACTGATATTTCCATCAATACGAGGATGGTAAGTATCCACTAACGGGTTTCCCAGCTACGACGTCGCTGGTCCCTCATTTCGTGGTCTTCCAGAATACCTCAAGGGCATACAGTATGACCTCCCTACCAAGCTCACGGATGGACCATTCCAGGCCGCTCATAAGACGCAACTCCCCTTCTTTGCTTGGCTGGATGCGCATCCACCATACCTGCAAGTCTTCAATAGTTATATGTCCGCTTACCGCGCCGGAAGGCCTTCCTGGGTCGATCCAGGATTCTATCCTGTTGCCGATCAGCCGACGAAGCGCTTTGACCCTACCATATCCGACGTCATCCTCGTCGACGTCGGCGGCGGTCTTGGCCACGACCTCGAGGAGCTTAAGGCAAAACACCCCTCTCTTCCCGGCAGATTGGTCCTGCAAGACCGAGCCGAGGTGGTCGCGAGTGTGTCTGCCAACGGAACTTTCGAGGCCACACCGCACGATTTCTTCACGCCACAGCCCGTGGAGGGCGCGCGGGCCTACTACTTGCACTCCGTCCTCCACGACTGGAGCGATGACGACTGTGTCAAGATTCTCGAGCAGCTCAAGCCTGCGCTGAGACCGGGATACTCGACCGTCTTGCTCAATGAGTTGGTGGTGCCGCGCCAGAACCCGACGTGGCCCATCACGTCGATGGACCAGCTGATGCTCGTCCTAGGCGCGATGCAGGAGCGGACCGAGGAGCACTGGGAGCAGATTCTTGCACGGGCGGGTCTTAAGATTGTGAATATTTATGGTTACGAGATTGGCTCCGAAAGCCTCATCGAAGCTGAGCTTGTATAACGGTTGCGTCTTATCATGAGTCCAGAGTGTGAGGGGGTTCGAAGCTCAGCCGTCGACGAAAAACTCCAGTACTCGACATGGCCATGCCCATGATCAGTCAGTCAGTCAGGTACTTAGTATGAGTAGTCTGTCAGGTAGTCTATTAATCGGTCACTCACCCAGTCACCTACTTACCCATACCCCTAGGGTAGGATAACCACGTAGTCTCTCGGCCAGTCAGTCAGCAGCCAGTATGATCCCACCTAGAATCACCAATTCAAGGCCGGTGCCCATCAGACTCTATACGGCGTAATACTGGTCAAAACCCATTAGACCTTCAATACTAGACGTATATAAAGAGGGGCGGGCATAGCTAAACCCTGTGTCAAGCTCCTGTCTTTGCTCCGCTTCTTCAATTGGGTTCATAGGCTGAACCGTATGGAAATCTGGACATCACAGCCTCGGCTTGATCTTCTCTGGCTCGATCAACAGTCATTACATCCTACCACAGCAAGGCAGCTACCAGTCTAACAGAATGGTATTGTGGCGTGATTGCTTGACCTACGCCCACGAAGTCAACGCCTATGTCAACTCTCGGCACTCGCAACCTGCAAAAGCTGCTCTCAGCGAAGAGGATGCGGCTTCCAAGGTACTCCGTACTCGTCTCATACGACTTTAGCCGGA